AAATTTTATGTTTCAGTCATTGAGTTCTTCTGCTTTTCCCTGTCAGGCACCATTGTTTACGCTGCATATGGTTGGATAGGTTATGCTCAAGTGGATTCAATAGAACATACCCTTCCTGGTACGTCCTGTGACTGGCCAGTCAGTCCCAGATTGCCTTAGTATCCCTCCTGGCTGTGAGACATGGTACCTTTGAAATGAAACTGCTGGTGCTGGTAGAGACAGAAAAGTCAGTGGAGATTACTATAGATGAGGTATCAGAGGTGAAGATGGCTCTGCTGGCCATCAGGGTTCTCAGCTGATTCATCAGCAACTGATCCACTTGTGCAAAATTATTCTGTTGGTCTTGGCTGAGGACTCTGGCCACACTGCACGTGTGATCCTTACCAGACTCTGAGTAACCAAAGAGGCAGATCTTGTACATCCTCTCACAACACTTTTCATCTTTTTCTCCTGAAGTTCTAGTGTCCTCAGCCCATGAATCCTGAACAGTGGTGGTGGCTCAACAGACTTGTAAGATCCTGCCAAGAAAATAAAAAAAGTGTATTATATTTTGAAAACTAATAGGATTCTCCTACATCTTCTGTGTAACAACTGAGTTGGAAATTGGTACTTCTACCATTTTGAAGTTTTGTTTTATGAGCTCCCTTGTTGCCCTGCAAAAACTGTATTTATTCCTTTAAATCAATATGAGTGGGAATGGAAAGGAAGAACAGTTGTCACCACATGTTCCAACGTGATTTGAAGGTAAGAATCCATTGAAAATATCAGTGTGCTTGAACTGCTAAGAATCATAAAAAAGCAGACAAGTAGCATATTATTACAGATCTGAGTGGGAATGACTTAGCATTGGAAATTGGGCAGCATCTGATAGTGGGCAGCTTTGGGCAGCTCACAGGTGAGGGCTGAGTCTAGCTAAACACCTATGCAGTGATAGGAATTTCATTTAATACCAGAATTCTGTTTTTAAGTACCAAATACAAGGGGAATGGAAACCCTAGATGGATATTAACTGGTTGCTGAGATGAGACACTGCTGTTTGAGAATATCAGGCTAATTCTTTCCCTTCCCTCTGTGCCTCACCATTGACACGTGAACAGGCAATGGTGAGGAGCAGGGATGGCAAGCATATTCAGAAAGGGATTTTTACTTCTGACTAGCATGTCTAGGGTTTATATTTTTAACCCAAGTTGTTAGACTAAAGGTTCAGAAGGTAAATCTAGCTGGCAGAAAGGGTTTGTGTGTTCTTTGCCTGACTTCCAAATGCCTAGGGAGTAGTATATTAACAACTATTCAATATCTCGTGGTGTGTCTGGGCAGGCAGAGGTACTCATCACTGAAAGCCATCTTCACACCATATGGAAGGAAGAGGAAGAGAGAGGAAAAAGAGGCTTCATCAAGAAGTTCAAAGTGCAGTGCAATATGGACTATGGGAAGTATGTCAAATCTGATGTCTTCTCCTGACCACTGAAATGGTTGTCTCCTTTGCATCGGACAAGACTTTCATCCTAATTACCTTTAAAACTGTATTTTTACATCAATATGAACAAATTTCTAAAACAAAGAGAGCTTCTAAATATCCTTGCTAGACCTGTAGTCTTTTATGGTGTCTCAATAATCATAATTACAGACACAGCAGGGAGGGCAGCCAGTTGTTTATTTAAGTCTTTGTCCTGAGGTTCCATCCTGTATTCTAGGTTGTCATTATGGGATAGGAAGGTGAGGAGGAAAAAAGGTGGCTTTAGAAATATAGCTTCAGTTAGTTAAAGCAAGACATATTTCATGCAACAGAGACTCTAGAAGTAACTGCATTTGTCATAACCCATAATTCTCTCCTTTCTAAAATAATAGTCTCCCCAAACATAATAAGGTACAGGTGTCACTTACCATAGTGAGGGTCAGGCTGTTCTCGTTCTTCAAGGTGTTTACTGTGTCCATTTCAAAGTGCTTTTGAGATGCCTCTTAGCTCATTCCGCCATGCGGACGTATTGTGGGTTTCATTCCAGGCTGATCCTGAGACTCTGTCATGGTCTCTTCCATAAGTGACCCCCTCCCCCTATTTTCAGTCTAAAAATCACACTGCTGTCATGAAGGACAGAGCTCTTTGTCTGGAAGGGTGGCAGTGGTAGAGTTCATTAGAGAAGGACCTAAGCAAAATCTGTTGCTGGGCTTGCAACACTATCCCCGACCTTTAGTACAAATCTTCAGATAATTGTGCACAGAAATACAGCGTTCATCTCTACTTGCATCTGGATGGTCTTGGGGCTGGCTATTTTTGGTGCTCCTTCTACTAAATCGTAATCTTGTGTTGTAGCACAGTGGTGTATGTTGACAGTGTGCTCTTTTTCTCTGCTGGTGGCAGAGCCTAGTTTATAAAAAAGTCTAAACCAGACCTCTAGGGCACTGAAGGACTAATGGCCCTGAGAAGGAACATACATGGGCAGAAAGCCTCTGGTGAGCAAATGGAAAGTAGATATAAGGTCTGGAAGACAAAGGCATAGGTAACAGGTATTGGTGGTGGCAGACTACCCAAACACTATGTTCACTCTGTGCGCTGGGTGAGGAGGGGAACAAGGCACAACTTAATATGTGCTCTGCTCTAAAGCATGCTGAATTCAGCTTGCATTGTCTATCCATCCCATCCCATCTGTCTGTGTCCCATCCCTGTCTCCACCCCAACACATTCTTCAGTGTGAAGCAATGACAAGAGTATGGCTTTGTCAACATGCATGGTGAGACAGTCAGTCAGACAAGACTTTGTACCTTCACTAAGAATTTACATATTGATTCCTTAATGAGCTACAAAAAGCAAGTGGAAACTCTGCCCTTAACATGAACGGAAATCTAGGAGCTCTGCATTGAGCCATTGACTACAATTTTTTCTTGTCTCATGCTTTAGAACTTCAGTCAACCCTGCAGAGGACAGTAATGGTTTTTTTTTATCTCTGAGCACAGCCATTGTCTACAAGTTTTGTTAATATTTTTCCTGTGAATCACATACTGGATGAGAGGAATAAGTATGCTGAAGCAGTACTACTTATCTTCTTTATTAAGTGTGTACATGATATGTTTTGCTCATATGATTGGAGTGTACTAATAACAGAGATCTGAGATTGGGAAAAACCTTTTTTTGTGCATGTACACCTAACCAAATATTTTAGTCATACTATTTCATTGTATTGTATTATTTTGGCTCAGTAGGGAGTCATTTCTGTGAAGTTAAATGGCCAATAAGGTACAGATATCCAAATTCCACATCTAATAATCCATTTATTTTTTAAATCATTGAAATTAGTAGTGTGTTATTCTGAAAGTGCTCTCTTTGAGATCAATAGACTACTTGTGGCATTCAGCGCTGCTCAGCATGGGTAACTATGACTGTGTGTCCTTCCATGTATTACAAAATGAAATGGTTTAGTTGCACATTTCAAATAGACTAGGTATCCTAGAGGTAGCTCATGTTAGTAGAAAATGTATCTGATGACTAAACTTAATAGCTGTTTAATTGCCAAAATTATGTGATTCTTTATAAGTTTTCTTTCTTGAGTCAAATTATCACTGCCAGTTCTAGCTTCACTATAATACACTCCTCATAATCTTGATGTATTTGTCATTCAGTTGCCTGGGACATCAAATTGCAAGGAAGTTATAGGTTAATTCAGATGACATAAAGCAATGTCATAGCAGAGAGATTTCCAACTGATTATTATTTTTACACCAGAAGCAATATCTCCTGTAAAAATTCACTATTGTAGTAAAAGATGGGCTGAATTCTTTTCAAAAAAGTTAGAGTACGTTTGACAACAAGAATATCTACCTACACAATGACATGATGTCTGCAGCTAGTAATGTGTAATTACTTAAAAGTGTTGTTCAAGTATACTTGATGGGGTTCACATTTCAATGGGACAAATCCTTTTAAATATACTTCACTGGTTATAAAAATACTTAAAAAGTATTTTTTTATCAGCTCAAGTGCCACTCACTACAACAGTTGCAGAGCTGAATGTAATTCTGACAGGCATTTTCATCAGCAAAGCATTCAACAAAAAAGATGGTTAAACAAAAAGCAAGTTTAAGGTCCTCTGGTCTTTGGAGTGCAGAACTCTGCACATACACATTGCTTTCTTGACCACAGAGAATCATGCTAACTCAGTTAAAATCTGTGTCTTTTCTTGTTAAAATTTCATTTGCCTTTCCACAATCTTACCTGTACTCGTAGCAACCCATAAGAGCATTTTCTGAATAACTGGCTGAAATACTCTTTTATTTCTCCGCTTAACTACGAAAAAGAAGTCATTCCGTATTTAATAAACATGGACCATGTGTGGTGCATGCGTAGATAAAAAATGATCATTTTTGTTGCCTCATTTTAGTGATAGAAATCATAAAAAAAGTGACTGTAATTTTCCCCATTATTACACACAGTAAAGACATAAAATTTCCAAACTTTGTTGCTTTTGTCATTTCTGAGAGCTGCTGAGAAACTAACTGGCTGAAGGCAGATAGTTTCAGCCTTACTTCAGGGATGCAGCCCCCTTCTGTAGTCTACCTTGATGGTGATGCCAACCAGTGGCAGGTATTTACCATCATGATTATTTTTTTAAAATTTCCTTCCGCTTTTGCCCAAAACATTCCAAACGTCATAAATATGAGATGCCCTTGACAACTTCATACTACTAAATGAAAATAAAACTGCACAAACAAGATCATAATGACATCAGGTAGGAAAATGATGTAATCACTTGCTTTAAGAAAAACAACCAACCAACCAACCATTTAATTTGCAACAATTTTAGAAGTATAGCTATTTGCATTTTTGCTTCATCTGAATAATTCGGTATATAAACTCTGTTTGCCACTATTACTTTTCGACAAATTTTTCACATTAAATTTTACAAAATCTGTAGAATTTGTAAAGTAAAACAGGAAATTTACATGAAAAGCTATGAAAAAATAAGTGTTCCTCTTTGAAAAATTAATGCAAAACTACAAGTGCTTACCTTTGTGTTTGGGTGGCATAACTGCTATCGTATGCCTCATAGCTTGGATCATCATATTCACCCCCATACCCATCATCATATCCCTAAGGGAAAAACAGAACACCAAAGCTTAGAAGAGTCATAAATCAAAGCATGTTCTCAAGCTGTAAAAATAACCCGCATCAACATACATGTGCTACGTTTGCCCCATATTATGTAACACACGGAGCCTACTGTCGAGAATTGTGAATCATAAAGAAGAACCTGTACATTGCAAGGGTAAAGAAATGAGTTACTCATTTAAGAACTTAGCTTATTGATTGATAAACTGCGGTGTATTGTCCAAATCACAGTGCTTCAGTGATTTGTGTGGAATACAATGCACAGTGACTCTGTGCAATACTGATGAATGATAATGAAAACAATAATTTCCTAGCAATTTGTTATATAAATGGTTCCATGTAGGTGAAATGAACAAATGGCAGGAAAAATAGACTGACTGTACATTATTAAGAATGCTATTGTCATACAATCATAATATTCAGTTTATTTAAAAAAACCCACAAAAACAATCTATGAGAAGCACATTTGTGCATGGATTGTGATTTTTTAGAATAACTTAAGCACCATTTCCTTCATTGAGCATCCCATTCTTTTTAAAGACATGCTTTTCTGTGACAAGTTAATGAACATTTCAATACAGGTTCCTCCCAACCAACTTAAGGGTACTAACTGAAGACAAATGCTCAGACTGTTTAAGCTAGAGAGACCCAAGTAACTTCAGAAGGTGGTTCAGCTCATCTAATGTCTGAATCTTCTACTGAAGGAGTCATGGGCAGTTATGATCCATTGTAGCTGCCTCTAAACCAAAGAGTGCTCAGGAACCAGACAATAAATAAATAAAAAGATAAGCCAGAGGATGACTTCTGATATGTTTTTTTTTCATACAATGGGACAACCAAGTTGTCAAGAAATGCTGTAAAGAAACACATTTTTTTTTTCTCTACAAATTTTGGAACCCAATAATTTTAGTTAGAAACCAAACATTTTGTAGCCACAAGAAAAATTTCCTGTTATGAGAGGTGCTAAAGGAAACAGAGGGTTTAAAAATCTTTGACTAAATATTAATTACAGCATAAGGTAATTTTTTTTTTCCCACAAGCTATCCAAAATTTAGTTAGGTTGGGGTAGAAGGAACAGCATGAGACAGCTCCAAAATAACAGAAGTCCAATAAGCAAGCACCCTGGTACATGATCATAACAATGCAAAGTACACTGTTAGTTTGATATTTCATTACTTCTGCTAATTAAACACCATAATGGTATTGAACTGGACCTCACTGGTGCTCCCAATTCAAAGAAAACAAAAAGAAGCATGCAGTTATGTCTTCTCAGGTCAAGCATGTTAAATTTGCCTGTCCTCCTGGTCTCCTACCCAGCAGTGAGGGCAAGTGTGGATTCCAGGTGTTGCCTGGTCTCAAGGAAGGACAGGGTACAGACTTCAGATGGTGATGCCACTTTCTCAGGCACCTGCATCAGCCTGCAGTAAAGGAAAACTTTTCTGGACAGGAGGGAGAGTCCCATTTTGAGACTGGGCAATGGCCTCTCCCAGAATCTGAAGTCCACACAAATATTATCATATTACTTTTCATGTGGAATTGCACCAGTTTTGACTTGCCTTCATTAGTATAAACTCATAGCAAAAAAGTACAGCTAAACACCTGCAGACTACAGTGATATATTTAACATTATATAGCCACATACACAACACTGCTTCTGGGGACAAGATGAGAGGAGCAATGCACCACATGAGACAGATGTTAGTGACATCAATTAGTGTTCTACCGGACGGCATTCAGCTACTGTGAAGATGAGGGTGATGCAAGTTCCCACATAAAATCAAACAGCTGGAGGAAAGACATTTCAGCATGCTTACCCACGATAGGAGAGAACAGGAAAGGCAATAATTACAAATTAGCGCTCTCAGTTTCTGTGAGTGGATCAACATTCAGCACCAGTGGGGCAGAGAACTTTTGTTAATATTTAAAACTTCCGTGAGTTTGCATTACAGATGTTCACTGCCTCCCTAAAGGCTCAGAGCAGGTCAACACAGTGTAAAGGGTTCAAGTGCAATGGTTGGAAAGCAGAGACAGGGTGAAAAAGCACAATGTATCTTTAATAAGGAAAAAGTATTTTCTGGATAATGTTCTCTTATTTGTGTCAATCTGTATGAGAATTGTCTTCTGATACTACAAATGAACGATTTATGTAAGGTACATACTAGCAGTTTTTCAAAGTTTAATACGGTGTATCATACCCAGACACCCTTGTCCCAAAGAAGCCTTTGCGCATCTAGAATTGAGATCCAAAATAGTTCCTTTCACATCCTTGAAGTGTCTCAAACTCACTGAGCATTTTTCTTCTCTTTAACCTTCAGCTCCCCAGAACTTACAACTTTAATGTTTGAAAGTATTTCTTGTGTGCACATTTTGAGAGTTGAGACACCCAGCTCCCACACAGACCCTGTTAAGATTCAGAAGCTGTGAGTTTGAGGATGTTAAATTCACATATTGTGTGCTCCATGTGTGATGAGGATAGTGCTCCCAAGAGCAGTTCTGTATGAATCCAGAGACCAGAACCCTGGATGCCCTCTCCACATGCAGTGCAATCTTTTATTCAGCAACCATCAGACTCCGTCATGCACTCTCTAGGTCTCTTAGTACTTGTATTAAAAACAAACAAACAAACAAGCCATACCAAATTGATAAATATTCTGTGTATGTATGCTGATAGGAACAAACATGTCCTTTTGGAGAATCTAAATAAGTTCCTAGTGCCGTATCCTCACCTCATTGAAGCCAAAAGGATTGATTACCCATGCTGTCAGTGTTTTGAATGTGACATTTTTCTTCTATAATTTCTATGATTTCATTTATTTCACCAGAAATCTTCACATATATAACAGAGACCTTACATCCTGTTTTGATGCCTTTTAATTCATATCTGTGCTTTGCAAGCAGAAATATCTCAGATAAAGCGACTCCCTCACACCCTGCTTATCTGTGCCCTTATTAACCTCTTCAAAGTTTTCTGAAGATTTAGGGAAGCACTTTCTTCCCCTTCACTGAAACTGGGTGGCTTGACCTCATCAACTTTTCATAAATTTTCTAGTATTCTGATGAGCGTGGATAATCCCTGACCTGAGGGAAACACATTCAAACAAGTTACTGATGAGGTTTGATCCTCAAGGCTACCCAAGGGACTGGGGTCGGTTGCCTGGAAAGACTCTTTTCCTGTGTGAGGAGTCTTCTTCCTCATGGTAGCTGCCATCACCATTCAGAAGAAAAAGCTTAATGGAATGAACCAAAAAATAGGAAAAGGAAGAACTATTAGAAATTGTCAAACTGATAGCCATTTCTAGGCTAGGTTTTTATGCTAGGCTACCTTCACCTCAGGTATTTCTTTCCAAAACATATGAAAAAGATCTCTTTACTTTGTGTCAAGGAAAAGTGAGTCTTTCAATGAGTAGGAGTTGCTCTGGCCTTAGAGTGATATATTCTGAACTGGAGATAAAGGAACAGAAATACACATCTGGAACTGCAGTGGGGCTAACAATGTTTACAATCAATTATGGAAGATTTTGAGGAGTTTTGGTATAGTTTTGATTTCTTAAAAAAAACCCCAAAATTAAGGAAAATTTTAAAATGCAGCTCAAGCAAAGAAAAGACTAATTTGAAAATGAGCATATTTAAGTACTCACCAGTCTTTACCCACTAAGAGAAGACAGGAAAAACTGTTAGAAGAATCTCAGAACAGCACATTAAATTTGCATTGGGAACACTCACTTCAGGAGCAAATAATGCACTACTCTACCACTGATAAATAAAATTACAGGGAGGGGAAAAAGAGATGTAGAAGAAAAAAGGGACATAATTGGAAAAAAGGCCTATATCCTACTACCTAAAAAGG